GGCAACAGCAGCAGCAGCAGCAGGAGCAGCAGCAAAAGCAGCAGCAGACACAGCCAGATAGGCAGCAGCCGCTGGAAAGTTCTCACAAGTGCCAGGAAGGACTTTACAAGACTCCTAAGCAGCAGAAGCCAGAATCAGCAGCAGCAGCTGCAGCAGCAGCTGCAGCAGCAGACGCTGCAGGAGCAAAGGGACAGCAAGCTGCAGCAGCACCGGAAGGAGCAGCAGCAACGCCAGCTGTTAAGCCATCGCCTCCAAGATTGGTTACACCTAGACCCGCAGCAGCAGCAGCAACAACAGCAGCGACAGCAGCGGCAGCAGCAGCGGAACTTCGTGCAGCATCAGGCACTTCTCTAGCAGTGTCAACAGCAGCAGTAGCATCTCCAAGAAGTGCTGCTGCTGCAGCAGGCAGCCAGAAGCCAAGCGAAACATCTCCAAGAGGTTTTCTTGTGGCGAAGGTTTCCCAGACTCCCCCAAATAAAGCAGCAGCAGCAGCAGCAGCAGCAAGAGCAGCAACGGCAGCAGCAGCAAGACCCGCAGCAATATTACCAGCAGCGGCAACACCTCCTGAAGGCTCGCTTTTGCTGCCTTCTCCCTCGGCAGCCGCAAGAACAGCAGCAGCAGCAGCAGCAGCAGCAGCGGCAGCATCGCCAGCTGCTTCACCATTGAAGCTCAAGCAGCAGCAGCAAATAGCAGCAGCAGCAGCACCAAAGATAGGAGCAGATCTTCTAGCAGCTAAAAAGCTGCAAAGCGAAGAACGAACCCGCAGCAGCGCTGCAGCAGCAGCAGCAGCAGCTGGTGTTGCTGCTGCTGCATCCGCGCCTGCTGTCGCTGCTGCTGCCCCTGCTCCTTTGCCCAGCCTAGCTGCTGCAGCTAATGCTCAGCTACAAGCTCAAACGCCGCAGAGAAAGCTAGCCAAGCAGCAGCAGCAGCAGCCGCAGCAGCAACAGCAGCAGCAGCCGCAGCAGCAGCAAAGGCCTCTACAGCCAGCAGCCCGCTCACCTACTGCCCAGACACAGCTGCAGCAACAGCCGCCACAGCAGCAGCAGCAGCTGCTGCAGCAGCAAGATAAGCCGCTAACGCCGAGAAGCAGCAGTGGTCCAGACGCTGCTGCTGCAAAACAGCGACGTTCAAGTCAGCAGCAGCAGCAGCGCTCAAACCAGCAGCAGCAGCAGCCGCTAACAGAGGAGCAGCAAGCGAAGCAACAGCAGCTGCTGCTGCAGCGGAGACTTCGCCAGCGACTGCAGCAGCAGCAAAGGCGCAGAATCAAAGCAGGGCTAAGTGCAGCACCGCAGCGCCTAGGCAAAGCAAAGGCTCGTGCGCCTCGCAGCAGCAGCAGCAGCAGCAGCAGCAGCAGCAGTAGCAGCAGTGATGAGGGCAGCATCAGCAAAGCCGCTGCAAAGCCTAAAGCACGAGCCAGCAGCAGCACCAACGGCAGCAGCAACAGCAGTAGCAGCAGCAACAAGCAGAAGAGCAGCGGCAACGGCAGCAACAGCAACAGCAGCAGCAAGTGCAGCAACAGCAGCAACAACAGCAGCAGCAACCCCCTAGCTGCAGGTAATAGCAAAGATCAGGGTCCTCCCTCGCAGCAAGCTGCCCCCAAGCAGAGACTTACGGAAGTTAAAACAGCAGCAGCAGCAGAAGCTGCTGCTGCTGCTCCACGCGCTCCTGCTGCTGCTGCTATTGCAGCAGAGGTAGCAGCGACAGCAACAAAGCTAGCTGCCGTGTCGGCAGCAAATGTCGCAGCAGCAGCCCGTGCCTCTTCTGCTGCAGCTGCTCTTGCCAGCAAAGATTCAGCAGCGCCAAAAGCAGCAGCAGCAACAACAACAACAACAACAGCAGCAGCAGCTGCTGCAGCAAAGCCACGGGCAGCAGGAATAGCTGCCCCAGCACCGGCCACCTCCTCTCCTCCTGCAGCAAGCGGGTCTCAACCGCGGGTAAGGTCTCCAGCAGCAGCAGCAGCAGCAACTGCATCAGCAGCAACTGCTGCTGCTGGAGCTGCAAAGGCACCTCCCAGCAGCATGTCAGCACCGGCAGCAAGTGCAGCAGCACCAGGACCAGCAGCAGCAGCAGCAGCAGCAGCAGCCAACAAACAAGGGGTAGCTGGGGCATTCACAAAGTTTCCGTTTGCTGCTTCATCTGGCTCGGGCC